TTTTGATTTGTTAATGAACGATGAAAAATATTAGAACTAAAAATAATAAAAAAGAGAGATTTAAGATATCTTTTAAATATTTATCGAATTAATTATATAATTTTTATAAAAGAATACGAATACATTCGTTTATAATATTTCCTATAAAAATAAAAAGAATATGCTTTTATGATTATCTCTCTTAATATTATCTCTGTGTAATTTTGAAAAATATTATTACATATGCATTCATATGTACGTACATCGAACTCGAACAATTCACAAATATATAAGAAAAAATTTATTATTTGAAATGATCAATTTAATAACAATAAAAACAAAAAATAAAAATAAGAGATATTAGATCTCTCGATAATAAGAGGGGAGAGAGAGAGAGAGAGAGAGAGAAAGAGAGAGAGAGAACAATATTAAAATTATATATTTCGTGATATATAAAATAAAATCAGATAATAAAATAGTAAAATAATAGAAAATTATTAAATGATAATGCTAATTTGAAATAAAATACCGAATATTGTCCAAATTGCAAAGAATTATAATTAATTTTCACATTCACAGGATTACATTAACCAAAAAGATGAAAAATTTACTCAACATATAAATATTCAATTAATAAATCGTGTATAGTTTGTACCAGATGTACGTTTTTATGCTGAATCACAATTAGCAAATGCGTAATGAAATCGCGACCAATTGTATTAACGTCATATGTAACTGTAATCCATATATTGTATGTATATATCTGTGTATAAATGCGAATTAAAACAACTATAGAGATAGATTATTTCTTACTAAATACAAATGTAATCAATGTTACACATATGGAATTGCATTTACAAAGTGTATTCGCTTAAGTCTATGGATTCCTCGAACAATTCGATGGCAAAGGATTATTTACTGATTTTGTTATTCCTGTTTGACACAACCCTTCGTTTCATTCCACTATCAATTTTGAATATACATATATTATACTATTTAATACGATTTTAATTACGTTTAATATTTAATCAGGATATAAAAAAACAAAAACAAAATCATTTCTTTTTTATTATTTAATTGAAAAATTTTATTATATAATTTTATTCTATAATTTGTCTCATTTTTACGATTCAAAATATTAT